GCTGTGTTTTATAAATCCCTTTTATGGTCACTAAAGAGAGGTTTCAGTGGATCAATAAACAAGAAAAGTCAAATAGACTGTATGGAGAATGCTATATAAAAAAAGTAGAGCCAATTAAAATGTTTCTGATTTAATTTTTTTTAAAGACTTCAAAATATTTTCACAGAATTTCCCACTTGTTTACTGACCATTTATGTAGTAAACTGAAGTTTTATAAGCTTCAAATGTGTGAAAAGTATTGAATTTTTAAAAATGGAAATATTTTATTTGAAAAATAATTGCAAAAAATCTATCCCCCCATTTTAATTAGATCAATCTGATACAATATAGTTTTATGTTATTCCTATCATACCTTCACATGATATTAAAGTGAATAAATCTTTCAGTCAGACAAATTTACAGTCTATCTTAGAAAGTGTTCTCACCATTCCTGTACCACTGGATCTCTGGCTGGAAGCGTTTAATCTCAGGATGAATGATAACCGTGCAACCCAGACTCATCGTCTCTCCTTCTCTCCCAAAGGTTACCTCAAATTTGTCAACAAAATGGATTTCAAACCTTGAAGCATAGCCATGTGGGGTAATGCCAACTGCATAAAGAAACAATATTTACTGTTTCTATCCTTTTCTAAAGGTAAAAGACAAAACCAAGCCAAAAGCTCACAATACATTAGGTGATGGTTGGGCTATAGATGAAAACAAATATCAAAACACAGGCAACAGATTTGAAAGGGACTTCTGTGGTCATCAAGTCCAGTTTCCTGCTGGCACAGGCAATCATGCCACAATCTTTTAAATCAGTTTAAGTAGATTGATCTTGATGTTGGTTAGATTTCTTCTCCTACTACTGCTATTGGAAAGCTGTTCCATCTTCTCATCATGGTGGCAACAACAATTTCTATGGGTATTTTTAAGTCTCTGTTTTCTCATGTACTACATGTCCCCAAATAATACGTGCACCTTGTTTACGGGAAGGCAGAATGAAGATTTCCACCCCTCACCCCCTGGAGTTGTTGTAGAATAGAGGAGACAGAGCTAAATCTTCATCTCAGTTACTCTCCCTTTCCTGTTCAAGCAAAAGTGACAGCTTTAACCTTTTCACAGATGAACTTACTGCTCAGCCAAAAGATTAAATTATAGCTGTTGTTGAAGAGTGGACTTCATGGATGGATCTAGGATTTTGAAAAGAGCTGAAAACACTCTGTGGAATAGAAAAAGAAAGATCAGGGGTATCTAACAGACAGCAAAATTGCCAAAGAAAGAAAAGCTTGATTAGTGGAACATCAAGACTTAAAAAAGAGAGAATGTTGTTAATACCTGTGGAGTGAAGAACAGGACTCAGGTAGATTATAATGAACCATGAAGTCAATTGGCTCCATCAGAACTGCCTGAGGTTAGGACCACAGGGATTTGAACCTAAGGCAGCCAGGCTAACAGATAGAGACTTGGTCCTCAGCACCACCACAGAGCTGGTGAGACACCAGCACCAGCCCAGCCTTGTATCTCCCCAAAGGATGTTAACGAGGACTTGGGTGACCAGGAGGAACCTATAGGCACTGTGAGCCCCTGATGGGAGGGCTATAAGACTTGTCCTATTTCCAGTGGGACTAAACCTTAGCATTTGTTTAGTGACCATGTCAAGATGATCCCAACTTCCATAATTTGGGAAAAAGTCAGGGGCCAAGGCTCTTTTTACTGAGCTCCTCCTGGGAGGGCGCTGGGAGCCTGGCATAGCAGGAAGGGCAGAGGGAGGGGCCAGCTGAGGAAAAGTGGGAGCTGGGCAGAGGTGTGAGGCTGTGGGTGAGCAGTGGTGGCCCTGTCTGGAGCCCCGAGCAGGAAAGGAGGCACTGGGGGATGGCGCAGAGGAAGCCCCGAGGCATGGGCGGCTGTTGCAAGGCGTGGAGCTCTCCTGCCCTTGCCCAGCAAAGAGGTGTTCAGGCAGCAGCCAGGTGGCAACATGGGCGGGTCTGCCTCCAGCCCACTGGATGAGAGCAAGTGCAGGAAGGAATTGGTATCTTCAAATGTTCAGCCTATTTTATTTAAGTTTTATAAATATTTAATGTTTTAAATATATATAAAAGTAAAATCTATCTGTTTGTTTTTGTTATTTGAAATGTATCCGTCATGCTTGATGGGCAATTCGTTAGTGTGTGTGTGTATACACATATATATGAACAAGCATATAATACTCACCTTTCCTCCCAAACTCAGCCCCCCCCCAAAACTGGGGTACATATATTAAGTAGGAAAACTGATTTTTTTTTTCTGCTGGAGGTTGAAAGCACCCTAATTTGCTGCTCATGGACTGTTTCATAGCTTCTTTAGCTCAGACATTTTAGTTCTTTTCCAAATTATAGTTCTACCCTGAGAAACCAGTCTTCAGGAGCTGCTAGGGATTCTGCCTTAGTTATGCAGAAGGAGAAAGAGAAGGAGGGAGAGCTGAAGATTAGGCTCTGCCTTTGCTCTATGCAGCCATAACTCTAGACAAATCTTTTTTCTTCATTTTGTCCTTCAAAAACAAGATGACTTGGGTGGATCCAGGTTTTTGTAAAGGGGGTGTGGGAGCCACCACTGGTGCTGCTGGGGTAGCTACATCCCCTGCTCCAAGTTTCCTTCCCCCATACCAGGCATCCCCTGAAGCAGGACCAGCAGTGGAGGACTTCTTAAAGTCCATCAGTCAGGTAAGAATCTTCCCTTCCCCATCTCAGTTCCTCCTCCCCTCCCCTCTCTGCTCAGCAATATGTTCCCTCCTCTTCACTCTCCCCTTTCCCACTCACCACTGCCACTGCTTCTTCTGTCACCCACTGCCTTGGGGACAAGGGAATGGGGAGAGGAGACTCAAGAATCTCTCCTGTCCCATTCCACCAGGCTGCTCAGGGAGCTGGAACTGTCTAGGACAGCAGGGTAGTGGCAGCAGGTGGTTTTATTTCTCCCATGCTTGCTTCTGGACTGGCAGGGAACCCACAGAGGGACTGAGCAAGAAGGGGGAACTCACCCATCATTACCACTGTCCCTGGCTGAGCCCAGCTCACCTCAGAGCACAGCTGGAGCAAGCTGGAGTGACTCTGGAGCCTTTCCTGCCTTCAGCTGAACACGGCCTGTGGGGACAGCAGCAGCAGCAGGCAGGAGGGGGAAATTGGAGGGGAGGGGAGGGGACATGGCACAGAGGGGAAAGGAGGTGGGGTAATCATTACTTCCTTCAGGGACTTAAAAAAAAAAGTCCCTTACTCCAAAAGAGGGGTGTCCATGTCGCTATACCCTCTTTGGAACCACCCTTGCAAGGTGAGTATCAGATTTGAGGGCATGTTGTATGCAAGAAAACACATCAGTAGGCCAGAATTCTTGTTGTTAGTCACTGTCTTGCATTTTGTGAGATTAAATTTAATCTCACAAAAGGGAAATGTGTGGGGCAAGGAGGCTGGTGTTTGGCTCTGTAAAATGGGCCCTTGCTTTCAATGGGGCAGAAACTTCCCTACTGTTCTCCATCTATTTAATCCCACGACTATTAAATGCAAGGTAAAGTGGGCCACCTTCAAGGAAGAAGGCTGGAATGGCATCTGAATAATGGGCAAACATACATGATGGCCCTCCTACTCCACTTTATTTCTGGTAGGGATGTAGCAGGTGTCCAGGGCAATTCACATGGTGATATAGAATCTGAAAATGGCGTTAAGTGCAAAAACTGCAGTTATATGCTACATTCATGCTATTTAGCCATGTACAGTGAAGCAGGAGGCTGCTCTTGATGTCCACTATTGGTCCTCCTGATATCAAGGAACCACAGAGAATAAAGTAGGCAATAAATATTACTTCATCTAGTCTAGCCCATGCACCTGAAGCTAGAGCAAATTTGTCCTCTTCTAAACATTCTGTGATGTTGTTTGTATCCAATATAGCCTTATATGTTTCAAAGGATGAAGCTTTTTCCTCCAGATCTAAATGCAATATACATATCACAGTATATTTTACAGAAGCAAGATATTGGCTGCCATAGTTCCCCTGCTTCACCTGTGGCAGGTTAGGGTATTAGGTCTATGTTGTGTCAGGGCTAATGGTAGTCTTATGTAGAGTTTTAGGGTGCAGAGAGAAGTGCAGCTCCCCGCTGTAATTGAGAACGCTTTGCAGGAACTGTTCAAAGTTGCAACAATCCCCTGGAACAAACAGAAGTTGACTGTTGGTTCCAGACGGGAGGGGAATGTTGCTGCTGGCTGTGAACCTGTAGCTCGTTTCCCCTAGCAATGGTCCCTCCTCCTTGCCAGGCTGCAAAGTTTGCAGAACGGGACAGGGGAAAGGGAGCAGAGGGAGCTCATTCTAGGGGTTCCCCAGCCAGCACGGGAGAGTGGGGTGGGTAAGTTGGAGCTTCAATACACCCGCCCCACCTCCCTGCGGGGGCTGAAAAACCCCTAGACCAAATTCCCTTTGGTCCCTTTTCCCCCTCCTATTCTGAAAACAGCTCAAGGCTGGAAGGCAGTGCAGACAGAAGTTACAGAAGATGCTCCATTTTGAAACATCTTCATTTGACCTGTCATGCAATGAGGGCTCAGATTTTTACCTGATCAGCCATTTTTTAAGCTGTCTGCAGTCGTGTACTTGTGTTTGGTCACAGCTATAGACCACTTTTTGTGGCCAAATCAGACAAATATTGTCACGCCTGTCTGTACCTTTAGATTATGGTTTGTATGGAATAGTTGGGATAGGAATGATCCTGCCTCAGGCAGGGGGTTAGAATAGATGACCTCTGGAAGTCCCTTACAATCCGACTTCTTTATGACTATGACACAGTATATCCCACTATTCTATCAGATGTGTACAGTAGATGTTTGTTAAATAAAAAGAATAGCAATAAACACCAAACTATAACATCAGAGTACACATTCTGATTTTTAGAGATGTTGAGTTCTTGCAGATCTAAATGACTTCAGCTGAACTGATAGTAGTCAGCTTCTCTGAAAAATCACAACCATTTGGTTTATATAAAATGTTACCAAATATTTTGTTGGTAGTTGTCAGTGAGCCGTAATTTTTAAAGGATAGATTAGGCAAACACATCTTTGAACTTACAGCTGAGAGGCATGGTGACAATTCCAGCATGAAAAAAGGTGTCATCAATTTCTCCCTTATATCCTAGCAAAAATGGGAATAAAATAGAGAGGGGGAACCTAGTTATGATGACTGAGAAATAATCAGCTCATTGAGCCAAGTAAATCAAATTAAAATTCATTTTAGAGAGAAATTGTGGGAAAACATTCCCTGCAAACCTACTCTTTACCACGATGGATGCATATGCTGAAAGTTCTCCTTTAACATTCATAGCAGAAGCACGATACTGAGCAGTGTCTTCAAATTCACATCTGAAATGATGCAAATATTTAGGCAGGCCACACAACACTTTAACATTTCTAGATTATTTGCGATCAATATACTATTTTCTAAAGACAAAAGCCCCATCCTCCTCGTGACTATTTAGCATAAGACTACTCTGTGTTAACTGAGAAGCTGTTTACTGTAATTGAGTTTAATTGTGGGTCTAACCTACAGTCCTTATTCAAGTAAAATCCCCAATTGAAGCCAGCATAAATTATACATGATTAAGGACTGAGACTTCCTTTCTTTTCAGTGGTTCCTAGATAGGCCATGGTTCTAAAGTACAGAACTTGGCCTAATGAGATTTTTAAGTATTACAGGCCTATCTCACTTGGTAAGTAGAAGGGGTGAACTGGTCTGAAAATGAGAATTGGCTTGAAACTTTGCCCATCTTCCAGTGATCTGAACTGAATTCTCATAACGCATAAATTCAAATGCAAGACTTCCCTACCTTCTTCCTTCATTCTGACCAGTAACTAAACTGGCTGTATTACATTCCTTATTCACCCTTCCTTTTTTCCAACCCTTCAATAGCACTCCAGATCCTATGCCTCCTGGGCAATCATGCATCATATTACAATAGCTACAATACTCCCTGTCTGTTTGGGCCTTGACTCCAGTGAATTCAAATTCAAAACCTGCTATAACTCACAGGTCTCAGAGAGCAAAAATTATGAATCCAATAAAATCCAGCAGCCAAAGGAAAGCTTTCTGGAGTTTCACCCAGCAAGTTCAATATTATAAATAGACTCCTCCCTGTTTTAATTTTTCTTAGATACAGGCTACTTTAAAACATCTCCCTATTGTGGCTGAAGGCTGCTAAAACTTTTCTCTTTGTGTGTGTACTGGGGGGAAGCCCAAGACTTTCTCCATTTTTGGAAGGGCTAACAATCAGGATTTTCACCATATTTAAAAATACTTGCTAGATATACCGATATGTATCTCTCACACATAAAGCCTGTACAGTTTTTGTTACCAAATTTATACTGAGGAACTTAAAATGTTTGAACCTGAGAAGGTGGAGGCAGCAGAAGTTATCTAAAGTGCCCCAAGTATTTGTGACTCAGCTGTAAACAGCACTATAATATAATTGTATCTCACTTAGGAAAATTACAGATGAAAACCAGAACGGCTTAAATATTTACTAGCGATAGTTCATCTATACCAATGTGATAGCATCTACAATAAATAAATTCACTTCAAAATCAACAGTTAACATTTTTGCTTAAATGATCTCTTATGTTAACCAGTATTCCCTTACGTGCTAATCTCCAGTGAGTGTAGCCCATATCGACTTTCAATGACATACTTGCCCGGGTTAGTATGTACGTTGATGGGCACATTGTTTTTGTACCTATGAAACAACAAAAACAGCATGTGGTAAACTGAAGTACAAATCATCTACTTTAAAAGGGCAAGTACTTGATGTTAGAGGTTTAACCATATAAGCTGTAGGTTCTCTATGATGCTCCTGGATAAGATGTAGTCTAACTTCCTTTAAATTCATTGCACACTCTCCTTTTGAGGCCCAAATTCTCACTTTATGGTTCAAATGAATTTTATCCTATAATCAAAAAGTGAATAAATTATGGACAAATACATGCATATTACCATGAACTTCAGGTGACTGCATTATTTAGGAGTGGAAGAGCCACAAGGGAACTCTTTCAGACTTCTATAGATTAGCAAAACTCTACATTTTCAGTCTAAGGCCTATCCTACACTTACATTTGTGCAGGCATAATCTATGATGGAATAAACCCTACTGTAGAGGCAGTTATACTGCCAAAAAGTCCTCTTACTGGTATAGCTAATCTTAATTCAGGATCTGGCATAAGCTATACAAACAAGGGGATTTATTACCTGATACAAACTGTCTACAGTAGAAAAGTTTTCTGGTATAGATATACCTTCAGTGACTGAAGATGAAGGAAGGAGGAAATTAATCAAACAGCAGGACTTCACCATTCAAATTTACCCAGGCAGTGATAATTTCAGGCCCTGTGTGAGCTGTCTTCACTCCCAAGAAAAGCAACTAATAGTTTATTAATTAGAAAGGTATTACTTATGGATAAAACACAGCGATATTAGATAAATTAATAGACACTTAGTAGTAGTGATCACTTGGGAGACCAACCAAACCTGGTTATCTAGTTAAGATGGCCTTCTAATAAAGTTGGAGCAAAACTGTACTCTTTAATTTCAGGATAGTCTGAAAAGCTCTATAAAGACAATATAAAGGAAATTTAGGTTGGATCTTAGGATGAAATTAACCTCTATAAGGATGGTCAAGTATTGGAACAAGCTATTCAGAGAGGTTGTGGAATCTCTATTCTTGGAAAGTTTCAAGAGCTGGTTAGACAAACACTTGACTGGGATAATTAAATCAGGGATCATTCACCTTGAGCAAGGAGATGGACAAGATGGCCTCCTGTGGTGCCTTCTAGTCTTACTTTTCTATGATTCCAAGGTTTTCCTGTACTATTTAATATATATGTATAAAAGTATTGGATTTTTAGATTAATACGTATGAAAATTGCAATAATTCTTACTTTTAAGAGGTTCAATCATTTTGTGATTTATAATAAACATTCATCAAAAGGGATTTATTTGTTTGGTTTTATTTTTAGAAATGTCATAATTTATTTCCTGATTTTTGACCATGGAAGGGAATAAGAACTAATCTGCCAATGGTATATGCTGTTCTACAAAACAACTAAGAAACATGCAGCTGGATTTATACCATGAGTATTATTGAGCATTTTTAAAAATGTAGTTCAAAGTAAAGCTCCACCTGCTGTCAAACCCTTATATTAAAATTGCTTTTTCATGCTTCTTACTATTGGGAAAAAAGAACAGTACCCACATCTGCAAATCTGTGGGCAGATGTTTAAGGTTGGGATTTTCAAAAGTGCCAAAGTGAGTTAGGAACCTATGTCCCACTGACTTCCAATTCAAACCCCATCTCAGTGCAAAGTCTAACAAGATAGGATTGATACAAAAGCTTCTGTGGGAATTGGATGAAGGAATCCCCTTCCTCAGATTGTGAATAGCACTGGAGTGGCTTGACAGGAATCCCCTTCCTCAGATTGTGAATAGCAGGGGAGTGGCTTGCCAGCCAGTATACACACCCTGTTCTTTTATTATCTTGCCCTACAAGAAACAATGGTTAGTGGATCTATATAGAGGTGGATCTACCTTTCACCGCCTGACCTTTCTATACTGTTTCCAAATTGTATTGCCTGGGAATGTGCAAAGCATCTGTACAGAACTCATGTTAGTGGATGAGGTACTGACCATGTGCACTGGCTTCCCAGATAGTAACACACGCCCACAAAGTGGAAATACAATACTTATGTTTCTAGATGAGGATTTGGGGTCAAGATACATCTACATCTACATCTCAATATAGGTATATAGATATATATAAAATGCTGTGATCACCTTGAGAAACACTGTGAGAAAAACTTCTCATCAAATATCAAAAGCACAAGAATAAAAAAATCAGTGACTGGATGCCCCTGAATGTTTTTATGTGCACGTGGACTCGTTCTGTCTCATACAGATTTCTAACAAGTGGAAATTATGCCATAAATCTTTTAAAGTATTGCCACAAGTATATATTATTTATATCTGACCAATTATTTTCTTCAGGGGGCATGACAGGGGATATAACAGTGTGCATTTTACTTCTGACCTCCCAAACTAAAGTTTTGTTCCTGTAACCTGCAATAGGGTGCTCCACCCCAGTGCTGAGCACCCACTGAGTTCAGTAGGAACTGGGCTTCACAAGTGACCATTGTATGACTGAGCTCTAAATGAATAACATTAGTGTTTAGGATACTTCTTTTCTTGTCATTATCAGGTTTGTGAAAAGAATAATAGATTAGATTTTGGCAATTTTATATTCATCTTACATTTTAGAAGGACTACTTGTTACTTTTGGAAAGTCAAATTCCAGAAGAGCCAAGTCATTAGCTAATGTTGGATCCTAACCCTCTTGCTATCATTCTGTATTAATAGTTTTCACTTTCTGTTGCAGGTCTCAAATGTCCTAGGTTTCCATATCTTCTTTCCACTGGAGCCAGTAAAACTGTATCACACAGTAAAAGATTCCTACAGTGAAAACTCCTAGGATTTTTTTTTACTTATCACTCCTGGCATGCAAGGGAATATGTGAATGACATCTGATTAACAAACACTGAATGAGAGCTGGTAAATGCAGTTCACTGTTGCTCTGTATCCTAGAGCAAAGCACCTGCTGCAAGGATTGCATGCTGGTTCATTCTTTCCATTAACAGTGAGTGGCAAGCTAATATCTAATATAGAGTTCATGCTGGATGTGAAGTAATTCAGGCTACAAACTCGGAACTATATATAATACTTTCCATGGTGATAAACAACTTTTTCAAATGCCTTCGCAGGTAGTTCCCATTATACAGTTTATTGATATAATTAACATTTAATGGTGATTTTCTGTCAGCGTTTATTTGCTAACATTTATGATGATATATATGCACAGTCTCAAAGTATCACAGATAATAAAAGTACATATGTATGATATTCCATTTCAAGCCTGAAAAAAGCATTGTTATGTCTTTATCTATTGTTTAAACAACTAATTATATTTTTATGGAATCGAAACCGGGCAAAAAAGGATCAGCTTGACAAGTGATGAGACAGAAAGGCTCTACAGTTCAGCACCAGTTAAACAAGAATAAAACACCAGTCAAGGAAGACACTAGCCTAAGGGTCTAATTCAACTGTCACTTCTTTCCCACACAATCTTCAGTAGTATATTTGAGTCCTTTTATATTAAGGTCTTCTCCAAGGGCCATTCTAGTAAATGGAAAGCTTCCAAGAGAATTCAATGGCCTTTGGATCAGGCATTAAACCTATCTCCAGCATCTGGTTTTAAATAATTATGATGGGCCTTCCATGAGTGCGTGTGAATCTTGAGACTTCGTTTTCATGGAGTCAGGCTACTATAACTGATTAGCATTTAAGCAGCTTCTCTTTCACCACAGCAGTTATAAATGCTCCAGAATCATTAAAGATTATCTGAGGCCATAATGATAAAGGGGCTTGAAAAGTATTTAAAACAATAAAGTAAAGAGCGCTGGGAGAGTGGTCTACAAAGTATGGTCTCTGCTTTTTAAATTTTTTAATTTTACTTTTAGAAATATTATGCATGTCCGCCACCTTAGCATGTCTTCTGTCTAACATCATACAAATACAGCTAACTACGTCCTTCTGTTCTTCTTCTATTTTATGAGAGACTCTTGGGAGTCTCAGGGCACGTCTACATGAGACACTAAATACGCATTAGGCTAATTCTAGTGCACATTAGCATGTCACACAAAAAGCATCCCAATGTGCAGCAGACTTAGTCTATTGTGCATTAAGTGTCACAAAAAAGCATTCATCTGCGCTAATGTGTAGTTGCGTCAATTATGGATACTAAACTTAATACATGATAATTCTGGTGCATTAATAAATGTGTAGACTTGCCCTCAGAGTATGTTCATTATGAGCTTTCTCATCACAACCAAAACTATAGAAGTAATGATCTTAATGGAACCACTTATGGTATAAGCAGCTATTCATTGTGAATAAGGAGGGTTGAATAAGACAGCATAATATTCACTCCTCTATCTCATGACTATCTTTCTTTATCATCACAGTGCACTGATTGGATATCTCCGTTGACCTTTCCTGAGTGTCTCCCACATAGTTTTCCAAAGCATTTACAAATTCAGAACAGATATATAAAATTAACAACAACATCATAGATAGAGATGCAAGCCTACCATGTAACACGGGGTTCTGGCCAGCCAGTCACAGTGCAATGTAATTTAACGTTCTGTTTTTCCCAGACAGTATGGGACCGAGGCTTGATAACAAACTCAGGAGCATGTAAAAGTTTATCTTCATTCAACTTTCGGTGAAATTCCTGAGTCTCTTCTATCTGGAAGAGAATATTTCATCATAAAACCCAGCATTAAACTATAAACCCAACATAAAATTACTGATTCATACCCCAGAAATGTTTTGGGATATTTTTCTAGAATTAGAATTCTAGTTCTGCCTGCAGAATACTTGCAACCTCTCCCAGCTTGGTGTCATCCACAAATGTTGTGTGTATACTATCTATTCTGTCATTCAAGTCATTCATGAAAATATTGACTAGAACCAGGCCCAGTACAAATCTCTGTGGGATCTCACTTGACAGGCCTTCCAGTTTGGAAGTGAACAACTGATAACTGTCCTTACAGTATGTTTTTTCCAACCAGTTGTGTACTAAATATCAAAGCTGCCAGTAATTCTGGACCAAATTTCGGATGCCTTTAACAATTCCCTTCCTTAATTTCCACTGTCTGCAGGAAGCAGATTTTACACAGCCCTTTTACACAGTCTTTCTCTTTCATCACAAGCAGACCTCCATAGTTATGTAAGAGGGAGTATGCTGCACCGTTTAAAGGAAGAATGTAAAAATAACCCCTTTTCCCAAAAGCAACTCAGGAGCTTCCAGTACTTCCACCGAGGCACTGTCCTCTCCCATGTACCCAAAACATGGTTCTGGCTAAAAGCCAAAATACAGGCTTTTGAAAACACTTCCAGTTGATTGTTACTTTGATTACTGCATTGCAATCATGGTGTAGATCCTGGCCGTGGATCAGGTGCTAGGGAACTATACCACACAGAATAAAGAAGAAAATCCCAAGTGCAAACTGTTTACAACCTATGGGTTCTTTTGTGTTTTATTACCGTTTTCCTTAGGGCCAAACGTTCAGCTGACTCTCGTATTGCTACTTTCCTTGATTTCTTCTCATGCTGCTCTTCTGCAGATGAAGCAGCCACTCTGCTGCTCACACTAACTCCTTCTCCTGTAGCAAAAAGGTTCCTTCTGGCAATGTATGCAGCACTTTCCTTGATCCTTTCCTCTTCTGTATCTGTAATTCCACTGGCATACACATCACTGAAGAGATTGAAAAAAGCATAATCACTGTGGCAAAAAACATTTCATTTGCAACTTCTGCTGTTAGCTTGGCCCACTACAATGAATAAATAACAATTAATAAATAACAGCCAATAGGCTGCTCATGAAGCCTTTCTACTTTAAGGATCATCACCCCTGAAACAGTTCCATATCCTAAAAACAAAATATTCACAGCTGTGTACAGGTGAATGACTGAGTATATTTTGCTGTTTAAATCCATTACCATTTTCAATGCATTTATCTATTACATGTGTCACGCAGGTTTTTAATCTAGTAACTCTCCTGCTATGCTTTCACTTTTCCATTTTTAATAAAGATTAGTGCAAAACAAAATAATACTTCATTCAATGACTTCCTTATACCTCTAGCACTTACAGTAGCAATACAAAAGTGGGGCAGATTGCAGCTGAATTATAACTCTCCTAATTTATATACTACAAAAAGTTCTGTCCAAGCAAAGCAACATTTTATTCTTTAATGTTAAGTTATTTGTTGTTCAAACAGGGTTTTTGAATACTACTATCTCTTCCCTGAGTCAGCCACAAGCATTTTACAGATGTAGGAGGCAGTGAACACAATTTTATTAGTATCAGTGGGCACACCTACATGAAATGTCTACTATGGAGCTAATTAGCTCTGCAGTGAATTGCCACCACCTGCATGTGCAGTGCTATTAGGTTGCAGTAAATGAATTCACTTTGCTGTAAAATAGTACTGCCTAACACAAGTACTATCCTATGGTGGCATAGTTGCATGTGGTAAAACACACATGTAGGCAGAGACAGGGATGGCTGGGGCATGAGAGTGCTTCAGTGTGGGGGGCAGCCTGCCAGCTAGTCCCACACTATAGCACCCTTGTGCCCCAGCCAGCCCCTCCACAGCACACTGAGCCAGGGCAGAGCAGTCCTAGGCTGGCCCCCAGGACCCCTTACCAGCTGAATGTGCTGCAGTCCCAGGGACATGTGTAAACTGGAGCACACAAGCTGCACTGGAGTTTATTGCTTCTCATTAATCACATGTGTAGACATGCCTCGTGGGTCAATGCACTACAACTGTTTCTACCTTTTTAGTTAGAACTGTTGGAACTTAGAAACAGTTACAATTTAGCAAGCAGCAGTTCCTTGATACACAGAGATGCCTCACTATCGTTCTGGTAGATTCAGCTACTGCAGTTGTGTATGCACAATATTAAGTTTCACAGCATAAAGTGGTTTTACTTAAAAGCTTGCTAGATGCCTTTCTGATGATTCTGAGGTATTTATTTCAGGTAAAAATGGCAAGTTGTTCACAAGTACTGCCACTCTCATAACATATACTCATGTAGTTAACGACCGGATGCTTCTTTATGTTTGGAAACTGTAGCTACAGCTTCCTGCCTCCCCCTCTTGTGATTTCCAATTTACCTGCAGCCACAGCTGAAAAGTATTTTAAAAGTTTATCTTAATTTTTTAATTTATTAATGTTGTATATTTGATAGCACTTCTGAAAGATCAAAGACTGGATCTCAGGTTTTATTTGGGACTCTCTCTAAAATCATAATGAAATCCCAAGGTTCTGTGTTTACTGTGTCATGCCAGTATCAGTAAAGAGAGGCAGTAGAACTCAGTATTGCAATAACTAGTTCTACTAACCAAGCATAACCAATTCTCAAAACACTGAAAAAAAACTTACATGAGAGTTTGGACTGTTTTCTAGCTTTCTCATATATTCAAAGTCTGACTTAAACTGTATTTCAAGTGACTTTACTGGAAAGGACTTTGTAGGAAGTATCTAGGGGTGGATCGGGGGGGGGGTGAAGTGGTGTGACTGCACCCCCCTCACCCCTTTTTTTGGATTAGACTGCACCAAAGGAGCCCCCAGGGGCTTTTTCAAATGCCTAAAGCAGGTGAAAATCCTCTCTCCCTGCTGCTGCTGCTTTTCCCACTCCCCCAGGGGTCGGAGGGAAGTACCAGAGCCATTCCTGTCTGCTGGGCAGGGGCTGGGCTCAACTGGAGAGTGCGGGGTTTCCCCTTCCTCACATCTTCTCCCAAGGGACCATGCAGGGTAAAGGAACTACTCTTCTAGTGCTTTTGTTGCCACTGTCCTCTACCCAGCTGATCCCAGTACCTGGGTAGCCTGGCTAGCTCTGGAGCTCCCCCCACCACACTGAACAACAGAAAACAGCAGCAGCAGGCATGAAAGTTGGGAGGTGGGGGAAAGGGAGGGGAGAGAGTGTGCCTCTAAGCAGGAAGGGGAAGGGTAAAGGTGTGGGGGGGATTTTCACTTCCTTTAGGGACTCATACAATTCCCAGGGGCTCCTGCAGTGCAGTCTGTCTACACTGGTGGGGGAAGAGGAGGCCAGGAGCAGAGGGAACAGTACCACAGTACCATACAGTACAGGTTGCTGCTCCTGCCCTCTCTCCACCCCCCTCTTTGGGAAATCCTGGATGTTCCCCAGGAAATATCAGGAGAATGGTCTTCCTCACCTGGAGACATCCAAAATTTCCAGATGTAGCTAAATAAACCATGAGGGAAATGTCTAATAACTGCTTTGAATACTCTATTCTAATTCAACAAATATAAATGCAGTTATCTGAAGTCACTTCAAATAAATCAATAACATTTTCTTTTAAAGGGAAACTGATTTTTTTTTCTTTTTGATTACAAATGAGTAAGATTCCATTTGGATTTGAGCAGTGCTGAACACCTTCTATGAGATCATGTGCACCTTCAGCTCTGAATAGGGACTCAGACCCTTGCAGAACTGGGCCACAAATTTGCAGATCTATTATTGCTAAATAATAAGAATGTTAAAAGTAAGGAGAAAGTAATTAACTTCTTTTTCAAGGCCAAAGGCCAGGACTCAGTGTTCTCTGCAACAATGGTTCACACCATAAGCAACATCTCTTTTAAATTTAAAGCACAATTCCTCCATCTTTATGTAGAGACAATTCTCAGAGATTGCAATGGAAAGTTTTATGTATATAGAGATTGCCCCAAATGACAGATTTTTAAAAACTTCTTCAGGAAGAAGAGAATGTCTATGGATTGACTAGTATTCATAAACTTTCATCTTAGATAGTTCATGCCTATGAACCAGCTTCAGTTTCAATTAAATTTGGAATACATTAAGTTAGATTGAGCCTCTGTGCTTTATAAACTAAAATAGTGGCAGGCTTTCCTTCATTTTCTCCTCCTTTTCACTGATTTGTACCCTCTATAGTTTTTTAGAGGTCAATGTCTATTTCCTTGTGTGTGTGCATCCCTATGTATACGTGTGTTCACGCACCTATGTAAAGCAGTTAAGAGCTAACACTTCTATTCCGAGTGAGAGAATATTTATATCACAAACCTGAGCCCCTGCAAGTAGGACTTAAAGTGGAAATGCTGGTGAGCTACAGAAACAATACTGCAGCAAATTTAATAGCCCTGTAGCATGGACAGAATGCGGACCTTGGACAGAATGATGACCTTTTAAAATAACTATACACATACACGTTATCTCCCCTGGGGAAATGGCACATTGATTTCACAGGAGAATTTAAGTATGATATATTACATGCAAATGGTTGAATGCATCTGAGCTATTATCGTTCAAACAAAAATAAATACTTGGCATTGGCTTAACATGTCACTTCCATAATCCTGGCACACAGGCATGAATATGATGCCAACAAAGAGAAAAAAAAGCACATATGGAAACATGCCCACTTGGGCACTCTAATGATCATCACTGGCCTTTTAAAACTCCTCAACTAATTCAGAAACCCAATCTGAGCCAACTCAGTAGCACAAAGATATGCAATATTTTGAGTTGCCATGTGAAGGAACTAGAGTCAATAAATAGTAGTAACTGGCATAATAATAATAACAATAGTATTTATTTAGGAAATGCATAGTATTCTTTATCTCAGGATCTCAAAATATTGTACAGACAAATAAAGTAAGCCCCCTAACATCTTTCTGAATTAGACATCATTATACTTTATACATATATATTACAGATATACTATACTATTATACTACATATGTTATTTTAGTATAGAATTTTAGTTAAGAAGTATATATAGTAAAAGAATATACTAGGTGAGTACAGGCAGTCCTTGACTTACAAAGTTTCGAGTTAAAAACGTTTTGCATTTACAACATTTATAAATTGACACCCTGTTTCAACTTTCTGGCGTCAGTTTTGAATTTACAACACTTGATCTGATGCCAAGCCACGCAAGTGAACAAGTTTGCTACGTCACCCACCTCCCTGGAGAACATCTGTCCAAACTTTCTTGGACACTTTCTTTAAGAAAGCAGACAAGGCTCCAGAAAAGCCTGCAGCCAAGACTCCTGAGAAGACTCCAGCCAAGAACCCTTCAAAAAGTCCAGCCAAGAGCCCTTCAAAGAAGTCCTTCTATATCAATATGATTGCTATTTACAATATAAATATATTAATGTAGCTATATTACTCATCTATAATTGATTGAGTACAAAATTCTGGGTTATTTTTGGTGAAAATAGGGTATTAGGCCTTGGTTCAGGAACCAATCCCCTGTTTATAACATTGTTTCCTATGGGAAGATTGTTTCCGAGTTACGTTTCGTCTTAAGACATGGTTTTCAGGAACCAATTGTGTCGTAAGTCTGAGGACTGCCTGTAAAGTGAAGCACAGACTGGTTGTAATGCAGAATCAACAAACCAGTAGCAAGGTTAGGACTACAATATAGGAGAAGTGGCTATCATTTGTGTGTTGTAGCTACTTTTCTCCTCACTGAGGAATAAATCTAAATTCCACAGCTAGCCACAGCAGAAAACACACATGCTGGTCTTTGAGAGCTGATGGGGAATTGCCATTATAACACTTCTAAATCATTCCTACTGAATCACAGACATAACTAGTTTTGCAAGTGTTGTATTGCAAGTAGTGTATGAAATTTTAAAATTTATCTACATCCAGAACAACATTTTGAAATGTAGGGTGGATATGTCTCAATTTATTGGCCAGATTAGAGAGCAAGTAGTCCATGGCCTAGAAGGATATAAGTAAAACAGCACCTGCATTCTGAAATAGGTGGAGGGAATATAGTAAGAAAAAAAACCTTCTGGTTCAGAGATGCCCAAAAGCAAACTATTAAAAAAGCTAAAGTAAATGAAATATTTCACTAATCAGAAGAAAACCACACACAAAAGAATTCTGCACAAAGGCATGAGTGTAGATACAATAGTGTTTCCAAATTTAAGTTCTGTGCTAAACCATGATACCACTAAATCCCCAAACACATCATCAATACCATGTGTTAGGCATAGCTTTGCAAGAGACACAAAAGCTGGAAAGAGAGGTGTGTATTTGACTGCAAGTTGACACAAAAAGCTTTTTTCCTTGACTCTAATCATGAGTTAGTTTTCCATGACATACTGTGGTATGAATTAACCTGAACAAAAGACTATGCCTGGACTGCCATAGCCTCGCAATAAATCATTATGCCACATCCTAGAAAAAACAAGGAAGCCTCCTTGTTTGCCTTGGATTTGGCTCTCATGCAAAGTTCACATTCAGATTTACTTAGGACATTGCTGGCATAAAAATGTTCACATTAATAGTTCCTGTGAAATAAATATCACTAGTGCCAGGGAGCATTAGGGTACATTATGCTGGTCTTTAGAAATTCATTAGTTTTGCTGACAATATTTTTTGTCTCTGCCAAGGGAAGACATGAACTGGTTGTTTCAGTTTCACCATCTTTAACATTAGATAAGGGATACCTAATTTATTAGAATCCAAGATGAGGTCTTTTCCCTATTCAACATGGGAGGAAGTGCCTCGTCTTGGATTCAAGTATAAGCAGGGGGGCAGGCAGCTGCTGAAGCTCCAATTCTGGCCTGGACCCGAACTGAGGGTTGAAGTAAGATCTGGAGACATTGCCCCCCACAATCACCTGCCACCTGCAGCCTCTGCCTCCCCCATCCCCCCATGCCACCTCTGCCCTGATCTACCCACCTCCCACCCCCGCTACTGCTTACTCTCTGGCTCTGGCCCTGCCCCAGCTTGGGGCACAGAGCACATGTTCACTCTGGCCCTGCCCCAGCTTGGGGCACAGAGCTTATGTTCCCCCTAGCCTCTGTCTGGCCACCTCAGCATATTGACAATGGTGGTATTGCTGGGTCTAGGGCCAGTGCTGCTATCACTGCAGCCACTGCTGCATGGCTGAGTGGGGACTGGAATGACCATGTGCTCCATGCCCCAGCCCAGCCTGGGGCCAGAGCCAGAGCAACAACATAGAAATAATAAAACTTACCCTTACCTACCTTTGTAAAACACTTTGAGATCTAGGGGTAAAAGGGCTTTTTGGATGGAATGCTAATTATTGTTGTTATAGGGAAATTGTCATCACTAGAGAAAGACACAAAATAAAAGAAAAACGAACATACCGCCCTGTGAACACAGGCACTACGTAGTCAATGCCTTTATTTTCTTTGTCTTCTAAGAGTAAACTCTGCTTGGCCCTCTTTGCTCTGGGACTCAACTTATAGGATTGATCTTCTATCATTATATTAGACTCTTTTAGTCTGAAATGAAAACCATATTGTTAAACACACAAAGAGATTTAAGCAGCTTTTGAAAAAAAAAAACATTTAGAAAAAATAGGCATTTTATAAGCAATAAATTATGAAGTTTTAAGAGGTAAATTTTCAAAATGTATTTGAATTAACTGTTGGTTAAAGGTGAAAAATTGATGACCCTTGACATTAAATCAATCTAAGTACAGAGAACAGCTGATACATTCAGCAGCAATGCATATTTTACCACTCTGAGCCCTGCAAAGTTTCCATACCCACCCTTGGCACTCCTACAGACACCGTCAGACAGGACAGAGAGATTCCAACTATCTCAGTTGTAATGAGGATTTTTGTGATGAGTACTTCATTCACTAAAAGCTGGACTTGGACTACCAGCTCCCATTCTTGCAGCCACTGATTATTTGACAAATGTCATGAATTTTGCTCCAATGGATTGGATTTGAATCAGAGACTTTTGAGTAAATACTGTATATACTAAATCTTCTGAACACTGCTAAAAACAAGGTATGAAATCATAAGATCCCCCCAGTTAGGAAAATTTTGAATATCTTCAGAATGACAGCACTTTTAAATTTTCTAAGCAAATTATATACCAACATGTTAGTCACTTTGATGCAACCTTTGCTACTGTCAAACCATTTAATAAACTAAAATCTATGGTTCACCACCAACATTTGCAAGTTTCCAAAGACACCCAGATAACACATAAGGCGTGAATAGAAGTAGTTTGATTTCAGAATGCTTTCTGGTTTCTACTTCTTTCCAAAAACACAGGTCCTTCTTACTGATATTTTCCAATACTAGGTTTGCCAACTCTGACTGAAGCTATTCTGGAAGATTTGTTTCCCCAACATGGCCTAATGTCATTAATTGTACTGTTCAACCCATTCACAATAGTCACTAGGAAATCGATGCCAATTCTGGTAGACTCCTGGCCAATCCAGGAGGGCTAGCAACCGTATAGGTGATACAACAGCCATCATGCACCTCACCATTAGTCATTTGTAACTCATAATCAGAATATACTTAAAGAGTCTAAGGTCTAAATAAACATCAACCTTCTTTAATTGTAAAGGCTAATCTATTCCTTTATAATTCAAACATGTCAATGGTCATCCTCAGATATCACATTTCTAGACTGCTCGTCACTAAGATCCATGTTAACATCTTGGAAGAACTTGACCGGAGTAATTATTCATGCTTGCAGTCCAGATATTTACTATCTGTACCTTTGGATAAAACACAGTATGGTCTTTAAATATATACCAATAGTCATGACACACAAAAATATCCAAGCATCTTAGATCTTCCATGTTCTTTAGACCAGTGGTATTCAGTGTTTTGGCCCTAAGGGCCGGATAAATGGTACAGGCCTAGTCACGACTGGATTGAACCCCACCCACCCAGATTAGGCCCTGTGTGGCTCTCAAAATGTTGGGATCAGGCCCCAGGCCCCTATACCAGCCCCTATAGGCCAAATTTGGGCCCTGAGGCCCTGCACCACCTCTGCCCAGTCAGCATGCCAGGACCAAGCCCCAGGATCCTGTGCTGCCTCTGCCTAGCCATGCACTGGAATTGGGCTTCAGGCCCTCACACCACCCCTACCCAGCCTTGCAAGCTGGGATTGCCCCCGCTCTGCCCTTTGCGCCTGATCTAGCATGCAGGACACAGCCCATGGGACTCCCCATAAACATATGGGGAGCTCTGTGGGTCAGATGATACAGTACTGGAGGCCAAATTTGGCCCAAGGCATGACTTTATACTAAGGTCATTTGAAGGTACACACCATATTTTCTTGCATACATGCACCCATTTTCCCAAAAATCAGCTGCTGGGAATTGGGATGCATGCTATAGGCAAGGACATATGGTAATAGTTTCTACAGCATAAGACTCTCTTAGAAAAAAGAAATGTAATATTCCACATGCTCCACATGGATGCTGGGCTCCCTAGCTGCTCCTACTCAGTTACTTCATATTACTTACCAGCATTTTCAAGGAAAGAGCTTTTTTTCTTCATTCTGCTGTTCAAAAACAAGGTACACCTCTTACTTGGGGCATGTCATGTTGTGTACAAGGAAATATGCTATTTCAGAAAGGCCAATGACAAAAGTTTTATTATAAGGCAAAAACTCCCTGCTGTTCTAAAATACATGTTAACTATCACCGTCTCATTTTTAATGAACCAGTCTTTTAATTTTTAACCAGATGAAACTGGTTGCTTATCTTGCTGGGATCCTATGACCCTAGCTGACTTCCTGCCCTTTGGGCAGGGGGCTGGACTCGATGATTTTCCGAGGTCCCTTCCAGCCCTAATGTCTATGAATCTATGAATCTTAATTACGAAAAATACAGCAGAAAAAAAGTGCAGGCAGCTGAAAAACTGGGAAGAAGCAGTATTATTTCTGCTTTGGCTGACAGGGAATGCTAGAGAGTTCAGCTGATATGACTAGTTGTTTCTTCTCTTAAAAGCAGGACTGTCCTACTGGCAATGCACAGGCTACATATGGGCCATGAGGGGTTAAGCTGGCCCCCAGGCTCTGCCTGGCTGCTGCTTTCCACATGGGTTTTCCCTGCTCCTCCAGCTTCTGCTGTCTGACTCCACCCCAATGCAAGTGCAGCCTAGCATGGGGAGCTGAGGCTGAGGCCAGAGTCACGCAGGCGTGTGGTACTGTGGTGTGGGGCATCCATACAGGCATGCAGTGTGGTTGGAGGGGGAGTGTGCCCACACAAATGCATGGTGCAGTGGGAGGGGGCACCTGTGTGGTGCAGTGGCAGCACTTCTGAAAGGCGTGTGGCCCTGTGGGGAGCAGGGATGAGGTTTGTACCTCATTCTGATGCGGTCCATGCAGTGTGCAAACCTCTGTAATGTGGCCCTTGGAAGTTGGACAGCCCTATCTTACAAGCATTATCTTTGAAGCAAAGGCTGATGTGTACTGATACATTAGATACACATATCAGCCAATTTATGATGGACACAGTGCACTGCTCCTGGCCACCCAGCAGGATTCTGTAAATATCCAGAGGTTAGAAACTTCAAATCCATTACACAAACTTGTGCAACTTGGGCTATTGAGTAATTTAGGGCTGTCCAACTTCCAAGTGCCTGGTGGGGGCGGGGGAATCTACCAGCAGGAGCTACGCTTTATGGAGACAAGGTTCTTTGGATAAATGTAATATCTTTTATTAGACCAACTAAACTCTTTCTTCTTCGTGTTGTAAAGTTTCCATTCAAATGCAAAATTTGATATCTTCCATGCTTTAGGGGTGTAGGTTGTAGCCGTAGCCATGTGGTTCTAAAGACACAGGTAGACAAGGTTCTTTGGGTAAATGTGATATCTTTTATTAGACCAACTATATTAGACCTGCACTTTGTGGAGGGCACACTGGTGCAGCCAGGTCACAGGCTCCCAGCTACACAGGCACTCCCTCTCTGCTGAACTGAGCTGCATGGGCACTCCCCACCCCTGCTGCACTGTGCCACGAGGGTGCTCCAGGCCCCACTCACAGAGCCTCCACTATGGACTTTAGCACCTTGTGATGTGCTGCACCATGCTGCCCCAACCCACCCCACCCCCTGAGGAGGAGTTGGAAGTGGAAGCTGGAAGAGGGAAGGGGAGCCTGGAGATTCCAGCTGCAGCTGCAGCTGGAGTGATGTGGGAAGAAACCACCAGATGAGAGACTGCATGCTAACCCTTTGTTGGCCACATACAGCCTGCAGATCACCAGCTGGACAGCCCTGGAGTAACTGAAAGCAGCAGTAGATTATCCTCCCATTTATGAAGAAGCACTAGAAAAGAATGAGATATATACACACTTTGCCAATGAGCTTTGCAGGTATTCACTGACAACAGAAAATCAGTGAGGGACAAATTCCATTTCCAACTTTGAAAGGTACAGAAAGGTCTTTTGACCTGTTCTTTCCAGAAGCTTAATCCCATCTGTGCTGTCCCTGAAAATCTGCCCCAGTCTCAGGCTCTTCCCTTTCTTTCAGCCCTATTTATTTAGCCACACTGTACCAGCCTCCACTCTTCAAGTTTATCAATCCAATCTCAATCTCTTTGGGTAACCAATCCCAGGCTCTCTCTTAGGCTCATGATGGTCTGTCCCCTACCCACTGCTCCAAACTATCCTGCCCACACAATACCCACTTCTCATCTCATCAAATTTACATCCCTCTTCCTTGCTGCCTTGCAGTTCCAATCACCCTCTCTAGGCACCCAATCCAGTCTCAGTCTCAGTGTCCCAACTCTCAACCTGTGTAACAGCAGGGAGGTCATTGAGAACACTGGAGAGATTTATTCCCTGTTTTCAGTTATGTGGCCAAGCCCATCCACGGCCAGAGAAGTTGAGAGCAGTCATTATAGGGAAAATCTGGTTTTGCCCGTATCATTACAGGCTGGGGGGTGCTCACGCACACCAGTTGGGAGCACATTCAGGAAATACAGAATCTTCCAAGACTTCACACCACTAAATTGTCAGAAGCATTGACACAGTTGTAACCAAATATGGGTAGATGTTTCTAAGCAGTGAAAAAGGAAAAAGGCACATTCCTGACAAACATCCAGATTTCAGGTCTCTGCCCCTAAGCAGGATGGTGCTAAGTAAAGGTTGTCAGAGTTTTTTTAACATGGAAAAAGGAACATTCTTTTTTCAAGCCTCATAGTCTAGAATGGATGAACTATTTTGGCTAAAATTAAAAAAAAAAAAGAAAAGAAAAGAAAAGTCCTGAAGAATATAGCTGGCTTCTGAAATTTCAGCCCAAATAATTAAAGCTTGGCAATGTTATAAAAAAATGAAAAAATGTATTATAATAGGATGTGTCAGGCAACCTAATTTTAAAGTAGTGTTATCAGCTCTGTATTTCATGCAGCTCATGTTCAAATATTAAGTAGCACCAACTATACATTACTGCACCTTTGACCATTTCATTTTCAGTCTTGCAACAGTAGTTTATGTTTGGATTTCTCTCAAGTGTCTCTGTAATGT